ATTTATTTATGCATGTAGAACTGAGGTATTTACCAGAGACAGAGTGGGGAACAGAACAGGCAGATTGACAAAGTACACTGCTGAGGGGAGCAGCGGGCAGGTCATGACAGTTCTGCTTCACCAAGTGGATCACCTCTGGGGCCTGGGATCCAACTCACACTGAAGTGGCTGCCACCAGCTTCGCATTGCTGTGCTCCAACATGTTGTGCCACCATGGAGGGCCCACAGCATCATTCTTAATAGCCATAAAATGAATACAATCAAAACATTGACTAGCTGATCCACAATACATGAATAAATACAATTTGGTATGTTCATAAGTGGAGTATTATACAACAAAAAGAAATTAAATACATAATCGATGCTAGAATGTGTATGCACACTGAAAACTTTATGCTAAATGATAAAACATACTGATTGAGGTAATACTGATCTACACCACTGAACATGTTTTATGGCTCTAAGTTCACATCTCTACAAACATGTACTATCACAACAAAAAGGACCATGTATGACCAAGCAGCTTCTTCTAGTTTCTCTTTATATGCAATTCCCTGTAGTGTTTATTTTCCCACTTGGCTTTTTATCCCAGTTTTACTGAAAGATAACTGAGAAAGTACTGTTTAAGGTATGTAGCAGTGACTCAACTGACACATTTAAAATCAAGTACATTTCTATCAATTAAAAATATACTATGTAAACTTCCAACTAATTCAGTACTTTCAGGGTGCTTTTCTTTTGTATACCCTACCCAAACCCTACTCATAGATAAGACCTTTAGAATGGTTTTACCTAACCACTTCCCCTCCAATCTCCTGAGTTTTGTGGAAATAATTCAGTACACACTACTGAATTTTTCTTACAATATACACCTTCTTAAAGAATTTTTAAATTGATGCCTGCCACACAACGGGTTAAAGCATAGCACTATGAATCTATCCATAGCCACTGCAGCACAAATTCGATCCCAGGCATAGGAGGTGACTCACATGGCACAGCAGACCTTTCCTGACCCGCCTTCTGCTCCCCCCAGCAATGTATTTCTGTCAATCTATCTGTTCTGTTCCTCACTGTCTCTGGCGAACCCTCACACCTCTGGCCTGTACCCCAGTTCTTGTATGCATAGATAAAATCTTTAAAAAAAATTAAATTGAAGATATTTAAATGAAAACCTTTTGCTGATTTAATCCATAAATTAAATATTTATAACATTTCATTATCGATCTATATTAGACTTACTGGTCATCCAATTTTTCTATTCATCTTCCTCTAAACTGAAATCTTAAGGTTTAATATTTTCTCAAAAGGTCATGAGGATACATTTTTAAGTCACTGATGTCTGAACTAAGACTCCTGTCCTGTCGACAAACCTACAACTATCTCAGCTTTCACTGTTGTAAAAAAACTAATTTTCTTCTTTTGAAAAAATTGTGTATTAACATAACAGAAGTTTATACCACTATACATTTTATGGCAAGAGGGTCACATCTCAACAAAGGTATATTTTCTTTTGTGAAATAATGTTCTTCTGTGAATATTCTTTTTAGCTGCATGTCTAGCATTTTTAACACTTAAATTCAGAAATTTTACAAGGTTTTGGTTAGATGAGTGCAAATTTTTCTTCTTAATGTTGCCTGGCACCTAAAGTCTATAAATCAATGTCATCAATAGTTTTCCCTCCTGAAATGTCTCTTGCACAAATTAGTTTCCAACAGTAGCCATTCTTTTACATTCTCCATGAAATTTTAAAATTTGGGAATATTTTAAGTTTTAGAACCTCCCACAGGTTCCACCTCTAAAGAATTCTCACTGAAATTCAAGTAAGAGTTCTCTCTCTCTTTTTTTTTTTTCATTAAACTTACTTCACTGACACCTTTTCTTACTCCACTGGACTAACACCCTCATGCCAGTTGTCTCTTCAGCAGTTAGAGGGTAAGGACATTTTTGCATCTGTTTTCTACCCAGAAGCTTGTGAGAAACATCAATTTTTGTTTTAACATTTGGCAGTATAAAGTAATGGTTAAAAGCATGAAAGTAATGGTTAAAAACATGAACTCTAGAACCAAACTGCCTTCTAGTTAATTATATGACCATGAGCAAGTTATACAATTTTCTGTGTCTCAGTTTCCTGTCTATAAAATGGTAACAGTATGTAGGCAGAAAGTTTAGTATGTAACAGTATTATCTTTCTTGGTACTCATTAGATATTTAGAGAAATTAGAAGTTGCTAGGAAAAGGTACAAGGCAAAAATCACAAGCCTATTTTTCATTATAAGGAGTGAAACAATCACAGTAGTGAAACAAAATCAAGTGAGTGTGTGGATGGTTCAGCACTGCCTATTACTATAGATAAAAATTCCAAGGATGCACATCAGAAACACCAAGCTTATTAATAAAAAATGTAAGTAATAAAAAACAGGCAGTTCAAGCTCTACACCTACAGTTCCAGGTAGCTTCATGTTTTTTAATTTAAAAACTTTCAGTTCAATACAATTAGAAGTTTAGTTCTTCAGTTTCAGTAGCCACGCATCAAGTGCTCAATAGACACTTAGTATTCTTATTAGACAGCATTCCTCTAAGATTTAAACAAAGACTTGAGTTACTGGAATGAAAACTAGTAATGCGTATGTGCAAAAAGGGACCTCCATGTGACAAAATAACTTAGAATCTTCTAACATGGAGTTAGAAGGAGTCTAAGACAGGAGTCTTGGTTCAGACATCAGTCAGATATGCCACTAACCAGCCACAAAACTGTGAATGTATCACTAAAGCACAGGCAGTATAGTGTAACTGTTAAGATCACATAATATCTAGACTAGTTAGGTTTTTAAAAAAGATTTATTTATTTATGCATACAAAAACTGGGATACATTCCAGACGTGTGAGGGGAGGGGGTGAGAGGATTCACCAGATAGAATGGGGAGCAGAACAGGCGGATCCACTGAAATACACTGCTGAGAGGAGGAGTGGTGAGACAGGAGAGGTCTGTTGTGCCATGAGTGTCACCTCCCTGGCTGGGGATCAAATGTGTGCTGCAGTGGCTTCAGATAGCTTCACAGTGCTGTGCTGTTACCATTAGGGAGGCCCTAAGTTAGATCTGAATTCTACCTCTTATTAGCTATGTATCACTGGGAAAGTTACTTCATGAATCCATCACTTGTTATCTTCATCAGAGTTGTATTTACCTTCCAGAAAGGCAGGAGATTAAATACCTGTAAAAGCACTCAGAATAATACCTGTATTACTAAGTATTAATGTATGTATGTGCCTGATAAAAATAACCTCTGAAGCTTCCTACTTCAGTTTCAAAATGGGCAAGGTAACTTGTTCTGCCCCACTTCACAAGTTGTTAAAATGAATATATTTGTAAATTATAAGGACATTTAAAAGCACAAAAGGTTATTAGATTACAAGAAAAGGAACATGAACCTTATTTTTCATCTTCTTTAATCACCTACAATATCTATGACATTGCTGTTTTAATAGAACATTTTATAAATTCTTACATTTTTATTTTAACTGAGCATCATGCTCTCAAGTGATAAAGGTAAATCGAGAAGTGCAGAAGTGCTTACTGAAGGAAGCGTACTATAAACTTTCTCTGTCCCCTTTGGTAGAAATTACCTAATTTTGAGTGCTTTAGGAGAAATATGCATTGTACCATAATAAAAACACCCCAAGTTCCCAAGTCTTAAAACCCTCTCTCATTCCTTTGAAGAATCAGATTAAATAAGCTATAATATTTGGAAAGTTACCTTTGTCATAGACACTTCTGAAAAAAACTTGTTTTAAATTCACAGTCAACAAGTAACAGAATAATTTCCTCCAAACATCCTATCACTAATGGAAAACAAGCATAAAATCACAAGCACTAGGAACCTCATTAAAAATCCTTACATGAACTTTAAAGGCTAGTTAATGGAAATGCAAACCAACACCTGGTCAACTGTTCAAAATGCAATTTGTAAAAAATCATGCATCAGGGTACAAAAGTAGCCAGCACATGTAAGGTGGAATTTGTCTTGTTGAAATAAATGTCAAAACTTGTCAGCTGTCTGATCTTCTCCCGCAGAAAACCGGAAGCCAAATTCTCTATAGAAACCGCGGTTTCTGTGAGGTGATGGGACTGCAAAATCAGGGAAAATAACATAACGAAAGAAAGCAATAAAGTCTGCTTCATAAAAGGCCTGGAAAAGCAAAGTTCACCATGAAGTGATACATTTTTGATGGCGGTGGGGTGCAAGGCCAAGCAAGGGCGTAGATGAGAGAAATGACAAGAGGACCAAGAATTGATGGACCCTTAAATTCACCTAGCTCAAACACTTTCCAGCAGGGTTTCCCTGTACCCCAAGGGTCCTCCTCCCACTCAGATCATGAGACACAATGTAACTGACAACGAGAGGTAGAGGAAGAACAGGAGAAAACAATGAGAAAGGTGCGGGCACTGACGGTTGCAGAACGCTCCCGCAGGACGCTCGCCAGCCCGCCACTCCCTCCACCCGTCCTTTTCCCCCCTCCCCGTTGGCGAGGAGCGCGCACGCGCAGCAACTAGGGGCTGCGCGTGGCGACGCGCAGGCGTGAAGTGGGGAGAAACAATGAGCTTTGTTGCCGAGGCGGCAGCGGGGGGCAGGGGAAAGGAGACCCGAGTGGGGGGTTAAGGGACTGGAGGGAGGGGGGCGGAAAGCGAGAAAGCGCTATCCCGGCAACCCTCGCGCGCCACCGAGGACCCGGATAGAGAGCTGCGAGATCCAAATCATAAATAATAATGACAATGAGAAAAAAAAAAGCGACGGCCATTTCTCAAAGAAAGAGATGAAGTCGGGCCAAGATCATACCGCAGATTCGGCTGAAAGAGGCAAGGAACAACGGGGGACACTCGGGGCTTGGTGCTCAATAACCCGGGGTACCCTGTAGGCCCCTCAGCCATCGCCGAGCTGCTGTTCCCAGACTGCCGGGGCAGCAGCGCCCTTCTCGCCGCACCGCCCGAAGGAACCCCTCACCCAGTGCACGGCAGCGGGGTCGGCAGCCAACGAATCCGGTCGGCCTCCACGGATCTCCACAGGCAGCGCCGCTCCCCCGCTCGACGCGCGCTTCGCCCGCCGCCTCCCTTCTCCAGTCCAAACAAACACCCCTGCCCGGAAGTGACTTCACTTCCGCCGCCGGCGGCCCCGCCTCCTCGTTCTGTCGGCGATACCCTCCGAGGCCACTAGAGAGCGGGCGAGAACTCGAGTCGCAGACTTCCCCGGCCCTTTCAGAGTGCACACGTGTGGGTGCGCGGCAGTTCGTCCTGCTTACCCAGGAGGCGGCGGAGTGTACCCGGAGTCCTGGCCCGTTGACTGAGAAACCCGGGTGGGACCGAACCAGGCGACATTTTCTCATAAAGAGTTTCGGTGAGTGGAGGAGCTGGGTGCTAAGACCTTGACAAACACTCGTGGATTCTGAGAACAGTTACCACAAATATCCAAACACACAAAAGAAACTTGTAGGTAACAGCAGCACACGCACTCCCACATACACACACCTAATAGTGACTTGCACCGAGTCCCACCCAGTGATCCTGACACAAACTAAGACAAATTGAGCGGTGTAATAAACTGATCTCCAAGCAGCTGTGCCAAGCGCTCACAAGCACTCTAAAACTGGACCTCAGGCAGCCCGTGAAACCCTCCAGAAAAAGGGAGGAAATGCCTGTTCAGAAATAGAAGGATGGGACCTCAGGATCCAAGAATTTCTTCATCTATGGCTTTAGATACATCCTCCTTCACCCCCGCCTCCACCCCCCACCCACCCGCTACTCCACTGCAGGCTCCATCATATGATATTCTAATCTAGTCCTCCTTCAGGTCATCATTGGCAAGCCCCAATAAGTATTTTAAACAATTGATCAAGGTAGCATACATGCAAAAAAAAAAAAAAAATTGGAGTATTTGAGTATGTATAAGCTGTATTTGAATGGGGACAAAAACTGGTAATTCTGTCTCTCTGGGGAAGGAAAATGAGGAACCTATTTCTCTCTCTTTTCTTAAAGGTTTATTTATGCACACAGAACTGAGATACAGGCCAGAGGTGGTGGTGGGGGTGGTGAATTCAATAGAGACAGAACAGGCAGATTGATGAAGCACACTGCTGAGGGAAGCAGCAGGTGGTTCAGGAGAGGACTGCTTCTCCATGTGGGTCACCTCCCTGACCAGGGATCAAAGTCACCCTGAAGTGGCTGCAGCTAGCTTTGCACTGCTGCACTTCAACCATTTGTGACACAACGGAGGGCCCGAAGCACTGCACTATGAAACTATCTGAAGCCACTGCAGGGTTGGATCTGCAGCCAGGGTGCTGACACACATGGGACAACAGACCTCTCCTGTCTCATCCTCTGCTCCCCTCACCCGTGTATTTCAATCTGCCTGTTCTGTTCTCTACTCTGTCTGGTGAATCCTCTCACCTCCCATACCTCTGGCCTGTACTTGAACTCCAGTTCTTGCATGCATGAATGCATAAATAAATCTTCAAAAAAAAAAAAAAAAACCACCCACATATCTTTAGTATTTGCTAAAACTTAAGACTAACAAAACCAATGTTCCCTCCATGAAAAGCTCTGAATCTGCAAGAGGGGATTGATTCGGTTCAGGACCATTTAATTCACTGGCAGTCTGCTTTGGGTCAGTTCAAAGACCCAAAGAAATGAACAGAAGCATTCTGCCATACTTCCTGAATCAGCCACTTTGGCCACATTTGCAGATTGCTATACATATCTTAAGCTGGAGAGGTTTTCTCATCAGTGTTGCTGGCTGAGCATACAGCTCTGGAAGGAGTGTTGTTTTACAGGTCTGTGGAGTATGATTATCCAATCTGGAAAAAAAATTATCAACTTGACATTGAAGAGGCATGAACAGGAAGGAGAATCAAAATAGGTGTGAATTTGGACCACCCTGGTGGTGGAAGGGTTAAAGTCTCAGCACTATCAAGTTGGCACAGCAGACCTCTCCTATATCATCTGATGCTCCCCTCAGCAGTATATTTCAGTAGATCTGCCTGTTCTGTTCCCCACTGTTTCTGGTGAATCTTCTCACCCCAGCACCTTTGGCCCACACCCCAATTCTTTATGCATAAATACATTTTTCTAATCTTAAAAACACATGAAGGCCCTCCCTGGTGGCGCAGCGGGTTAAAGCACAGCACTGAGAAGCTAGGGCCACTTCCGCATGAGTTCGAATCCCGCCTGCCCCGGAGGTGACCACATGGCGTGGCAGACCTCTCCTGACCCGCCCGCTGCTCCCCTCAGCAGTGTACTTAGTTGATCTGCCTGTTCTGCTCCCCACTCTGTCTTTGGTGAAGCCTCTCACACCCTCCGCAGCTCTGGCCTGTACCCCAGCTCTGTACAAATAAATAAATAAATCTTAAAAAAAAAAAAACACATGAAATGTTAATCTGTAGTTGATCTGGGCATTCATGAGATTTTATAGTAGGGCAAATCACTATTATTGAAGAATCTTTGATAAATCTTATTCCAATACCTACAAAACACATACAGTCTTTCCCAGATCATAGTGAATTCACCATTGTGATCAAAACTTGATGGGTCAGAGTACCTCTTTGGTATTCTCTGGGTATCATTCCAAGGTCGCCTCTGCTCACTTGCAAAATGAGGTTCATAACCTGATTGGGTGGAAAGTGCTGTCAGGAGAATGAGGGCTAACAAATTTGCCAATAATGACAGACAAGGCAATGAAACTTTACCAGAGGCCCACAACTGCAGAATTCATGTTTGGTTCAGGTAATCAGTAGTTTGGTTCTGAAGATTTTGAAGGGTTTAGATTTGTAAATTAAGATGTTGAACTAGGAATCAAGAGATGGTAAGGAAAGCCCAGGATGAAAGTGAATAGGTTCCCACTTCAGTCCACTGTATTTCTGCAGACTTTTCATTAAAATGTAAAATGTTTAGATAGATCTGCTGACTCATTCACACAGAGGAATGTGCCCAAATATGTAAGCATATTCAAAGCTGTTAAATCTTTAAAAACCTAAAAACTTACCAATAGGAATTAAAATTATAATGTAAAATAGCAACACACACCTTAAGATATACTCTGATGTGGAATGATACCCATGAACTTTTAACATAAGGTACAAAACAGCATGTATAATCTTTTGAAAATATATGTAAACATACACATGTAGGTATAAATGCAAATAGTTGGTAGAATACCAGTATTTGTAACATTCTAGGTGGTAGATAAAATTTTTTTTTCAAGGTTTATTTATGCACACAGAACTGGGGTATAGGCCAGAGGTGCAGGGGCAGTGAAAGGATTCACCAGAGAGAGTGGGGAGCAGAACAGGCAGACTGATGAAGTGCACTGCTGAGGGGAGCAGTGGGCAAGACAGGAGAGGTCTGCTGTGCCATGTGGTTCACCCCCCTGGTTGGGGATCAAATTCGTGCTGAAGGGCTGTGGCTAGCTTCAGCTAGCTTCTTAGCGCTGTGCTTCAATCCTTTGTGCCACCAGGGAGGGCTTTTTTTTTTTTTTTTTTTCAGATATTACCTATGCATACAAGAACTGGGGTACAGAACAGAGATGGGGGGGATGGTGAGAGGATTCACCAGAGTGGGGAGCAGAACAGAAGTTGAAATTCACTGCTGAGGGGAGCAGCAGGTGAGGCAGGAGAAGTCTGCTTCACCATGTGGGTCAGCTCCCTGCTTGTGGTTTGAACTTGAGCTGCAGTGGCTGTGGAGAGCTACATAGAGCTGCACTCTAACCCAGTTCCTCCCGATACCATCACCTATATACATTTCAGTACTGCCTGAAATTTCAATGAAAAATTGAATTGCATTTATGAATAAGAAAATTTTAATTCTCAAAACCTGTAATTTATAGTCCTATAGTTTGACAGTGGCCTTGCCACTATGCTCATTTGTGTCATGTGGAAGCTGGGGAAAGTATGTACCCCATTACTAATCCTTGACGCTAAATAGTACCTGCTCAGAATGGTGCTCACAATGCAAGTGAAGACAAGTGAAGACAAAGCATACAACAAATTTTACCTGTTAACAATACTACTTCACAGACACTGCAATAGCTGCTTTATCAAAAAATAAGTGAAAGGATGGCTTTTCTGCTGGCACAGGCATTTAAGTCTTAGTGCTTTTGAACAATCACTAGCCAGAGGCCTGAGTTGGATGCCCAGCTAAGGTACCAACCAACATTGGTGCAAACCTCTCCTGTCTTACCTGTTGCTCCTCTCAGCAGTGTATTTCAGTACATCTGTCTACTCCCCACTCTTTGCTGAATCCCCTCACCCTGAAACCTGTAGTCTACACCCCATTCTTGCATGATTTTTAATTGAGAGAAATTAGAACCATGTGCACTGTTGGTGGGAATATAAGGTGGTTCAACCATTGTGTACAGTATAGAGGTCACTAAAAAAATGAAGACAACTACCAGATGAAGCAACAAAGCTAATTTTTGTTAAAACTGAAAGCAGGATCTTGAGGTATAAACCCATTAGTAGCACTACCACTCATAAATTAAGATGCAAAAACAATGCAATGCCAATGATGAAATTGGGTAAGCAGGGCCCTCTGTGGTGGCATGACAGGTTAGCGCACAGCACTATGAAGCTATGTACTACTACTGCAGCACGAGTTTGATCCCTGGCCAGGGAGGTGAACCACATGGCTTGGCAGACCTCTCCTGACCTGCCTGTTACTTCTCTCAGCAGTGTATTTCAGTAACTCTGCCTGTCCTGCTCCTTACTCTGGTGAATCCTGTCATCACCCACAGGTTTGGACTGTACCCAATTTCTTGTATGAATAATCTTTAAAACAATTTAAAAAGGAAGTTCAGGGCCCCCCTCGTAGCACAAGGGGTTAAAGTATAGCACTATGAAGCTACCTGCAGCCACTGCAGTGGGAGCTTGATCCTTGTCCAGGAAGTTGATCCACATGATGGCAAAAGCAGAGCTCTCGTGTCTTGACCACTGCTTCACTCAGCAGCGTATTTTGGGCAAGCCACCTGTTCTACTCCTTGTTTCTAGTGAATCCTTTCACAACTCTCTAACCCTGGCCTTGTATGTATAAATAAATCCTTAAAACTCATGTACAGGGATTATGATTGTTTCCAGCAGTAAGGGGAGATGGGGTTAACAGGCAGCTTGTTTTACATTGGATGATGGTGGCCTTAACAGTGAGAATGTATTTAACAACTGTACATTTTAGTTTTTAAAGGGCATATTCCTGCTTGTATAGCATATTTTAAAAGGTGAGCGGCGGGCCCTCCCTGGTGTCACAACAGTTAGGTGCAGCACTGTTAACTTTGATCCCCAGCCCTGGAGGTAATCCACATAGTGCAGACATCTCCAGTCTTGCTGGCTGCTCCCCTCAGCAGTGTACTTCAATCTGCCTGTTCTGTTCCCCACCGTCTCTGGTGAATCCTCTCACCACCCTTGCACCTCTGGCCTGTACTCCAGTTCTGTGTGCATAAATATTAAAACAAGACAAATATCAAATTAACTGTTATTTAGCCCTTTTCTTGGTTTTTGTTTGGTTAAATGCAATGCACATAAGAAACAACTGGTTTGGCAAGGTAGTCAACTTCTAAGATTGCTTTATCTTCACGAACATTCCTGGAACTCTTAATTGCATCAAGTTCCCTTGAAAACCGTAAGCTTTAAAAAGTGTTAAAAGGAACACTTATTTTTTTTCTAAAAATGCTTTATACATATCTCCAAGTAAATATTCTCTAGTTTTCTTCTCAAAAATTTAATAAAATCAGTATTTCAACAAAACAGTAAGTAAACTAGTCATCTAGTTACTAACACTTGGCATAAAAACACAGTACAGGAAAAGCTACCCTTGATATCAGTACCACCCCAGCTTGTCATAATTTCTATCAAAACTCACTCTTAAACCTCAGTGAAGCACAGTAATGGTTTCTAGTAAGTCTTACGATAGTTTATCTGCTGGAAAAGTATTCACACAAGTATCAAGTACTTTGATAATTCAAAGAATAATTACCTTCCCCTACAGTGACAGGACTTACATCAGATTAGAAGGGTACTTTAACCTCAGTTCAATCATCGACCTGAGGCCCTTGCCAGAAACTATGCCTGAAACCCATTACTCTTTTAAAGGAACTGGCTTTTAACTATACTAAGCCAGATTTTATGAGGAAAACAAATATCCACACAATGTGTAATTCCTTTTCTGGTCTCTATTACCCTGAAGGGGGTTGAGGGAAATTCTATTCCTTTTATTAAAGAATTCTTCAGAAGGCCCTCCCTGTTGGCTCAGCGGGTTAAAGCACAGCACTAAGAAGCTTAAGCCACTTCCGCTTGAGTTCGTTCCCTGCCTGGCCCAGAGAAAATCCACATGGCATGGCAGACCTCTCCTGACTGCACCCCACCCCTGCTCCCCTCAGCAGTGTACTTTTTTTTCTGTTCTGCTCCCAGCTCTCTGGTGAATCCTCTCACCCATCGCATCTCTGGCCTGTACCCCAGTTCTGTATGAATAAATCAATCTAAAACAAAAAAAAGAGTTCCTCAGAATGTAATCATTTAAACTCTCTATATACTATGGTGTATTAATACATGGCCATTCACCTGTCTCATTAACTTATTTTGAATGTACTCAATACAAAGGTTGGCCAACTCAAGGCATAATTGATTCTAATTACCAGCAATGAGTTAAAAAGAATCCCAAAACTCAAGATTTCCCTAAACCCCCCCCATATATATGACTGACAAGAAATTAAAAGACCTACATGACAGTGGGAGAAATATTTTTAAACTGTGCATCAGCTTTTAAGTGTATTTCTATTAAAGCTTTAACATAATCTGGGAAATAGTTAACAGATTTATTTATCACCAACAGTTTTGAGAATTCCTGCTTTCTAAATGAAAACATTCAACTTTTCCCCCTAAAACTTGGTAGATCTAGCAAAATAGACTATGAAAGAAAAAACTATCAACAGGAAACAGTAGGGAATACCATCACAGACATTGTTGTTTACTGTAGCTGTTATTAGTTAAACATTGGAATTAAGTGGGTAGTTAGTAAAGGCTGAAATTAAACTGTCAAGGATTTTTTGTGCATGTTACATAAAAAGTCATATCCTTTACAAGAAGCCCATAAAACTTTGTACCTTTATTTGAAATATCCTTTATTCCACATGGAACTAAAAATTTCTAAGAGAATCCCTACAATTTTTTTAAAATAAAAATTTATTTCTTGACAAAGATAATCCCTTATATAAGAATCCCATCATATTTTGAAAAGCTGGTCGAATTCTTGTTATTCCCATTTTTATTGTTAAACACTTAGACATTTCTAAACACGAGCTCTCGCAATTTTTTCTCTCAGCATTTTAAACTTAGGTTGAAGGAAAAAAGAACCAACACACACAAACGGCCCCATTTTTAGTTATGTAACAGGAACAAGAAATCCACTTAGCACCAAAAAATTTAAAACTCATTGATCTTTAGTAGCAACCTTAAAACACTATAGATTGAAAATGTAATAATTAGTTAAAGCATGCAAAAAAGTGTACAATGAATAAAAATCACAACTGACAAATATATTGGTTAACATTCCAAACATGTATAACCAATGAACATGGCCTAGGTTTTTTTTTTTATTGGTATTCACTTCAGAAACTTGAATCCACAGATATAAGCAGTATATAACCAGAAAGTTACAAGTAAACACAGATTATACATGCAAATTTCTGTTCACAAAGGTCACATGTGCAGGTATATGAATTAGAAGCGTGCGTCTAGATTACGGCCAAACTTTTTAAAATGCAGAAATGTAAAATTACACCTTGAAAATATGAACAGATGGTATACACACTTCAAAAAATCAAATCTTGCTTATACCATATGTATGACTGCTACAGGATTCAAGTGACAAGCAATATGATCTCAAGAAATTAATACTGGTCAAAGAGAACGGGAATTTTTACATTTCACTCAAAATACATTGACTACTAGAATACGAAATCTAGCAGGAACTTAGGGAAAAAAATTACAAAATCTAAAACCAATTTACTTATTACCTAAACAACAGCATGACAATAAAAGAAAACTGCACCTGCATTTTGATTGCAATTCTCATATTAATGAAGACCTCCAAAAGCAAAACATAACCAAAAAAGTTTCCAACTCCAAATGAAAGCCTACAAGGCCCAGGTTAAAATGTGGAATGTTTAAGATGAAAGTAATAAAAAATACAACTGGTTTTGTTCTTTATTGAATGGAATCAAAAGTTTGACATGTCTTTGAAGCTTGGAATCACTAAATTTCATTTCTCTGGTTCAACATATCTTAGTGGTGCAAGTTGTCTTAAGTAGCTTACGAAATCAGTCTCTACAAATTACTTGTCTGTTACCATTCTGAATAAACAAAAACAATTCTTCTTTAACTTAACCGTATAGGTATTTTTGCTATAACACTTAACACATGAACAGACATCTATTATTTTGCCACTAAAACAAAAGAGTACAATAGTTTTCTTCTAACTACAGTATTGTATTTAGAAAAGGTTAACATTAAAAACAAAGAACCATTATTTTCTTTGAAATTATTAAGCTTCTTGCACATCTTAAGTTTCCTTCTTCTGCCTGCGTTCTTCTGCCAATTTATTCAGAAATTTCTGCAAAAAAAGAAAATTTTAATTTGTAGGGATTAAAGTCATCTAAGAAAAACATAACAAATGGGTTAACACCACAATAAGAGAGTTTCCCAACTAAGTTTAGGACTAGCATGTGATTTAAATATAACCTCATTAGTAAAGCATGGGAAAAAAAGGTAAAAAAAGAAATGAAAACTTGTTATTTCAATATGCTTTAACCCTAGCTTAACAGAAGTAAGACCACAGTGACATAAAGTACTCCTCCTCCAAGAAAACAGATGTCAAAGTAGATGTATAATTTAATGTCCCACTATTTAAAAAAACAAAAAACAAAAAAAAAAAAAAAAAAGGGAAAGCACTTTCTTAAAGGGCTAGTGGTAAGTATTTTATATATGCAGGCAGTTTAGTCTTTGTGGAAAAGTAATTTTTTGTTACAGGAATAAAAGCACCCATTTACAATACATAAAAAAGTTAAGATTCCTGCTGTGTTCCAACAAAACTTTATAAAAGCAGGCAAATGGTCTGCAAATACTGCTTGCTATACCTATTTCTTGGACACCTGAGATCTATTAAGACACACACACAAAAAATTCCAAAACTCTAATCGAAAATAACAAAATTAGTTTTGGTTGGAATTTATCAACGTATAATTACTGCAAATTTGATGAGGGTAAAAGCAATTATATCCTTTGAAAGGGGGCAGAAGAAACCTGTTACGAAAGTATCAAATCACTGACCATTACTAGCAAGATACCGTACTGTATGATTTTTATATGAAGTTAAAATAGGAAATAAAGATTTCAGTAGAACAAATATCTAGACAACTAAAATAGCTAGAAAGCATCAGAAAGATTATATTAATCTATTAAGTACCCACACCCCTCTTGTATTATCTCAGTACTCTTATAGGCAACAGTTTCCGCTCTTAAAGCAACAATATCAAAGAAGATACATTAAATTGCTGCTATCTTTGAAAATCTATATCCATGACATAAGCAGCAAGAACATTTAACACTTGTAACAGGCCACTGTGTGACAAACCAAGAACTAGAATTACTTCCTAAATTCAAGGATATCTAGTCAACACATAGATTGAGTTTGGGAACTTAATACTAAAATCATGTAAAAAATTAGTCTACAATTATCAATCCCTAAAATTTTTTGCATTATTTATTTCAATACTTATTAGGCCTTAGAAGTCATTAAAATACCAAATTTCAAAACATCCAAATAGGAATGTTATTTATTGTACTGTGCTTTATTAATTTACCCTCTTCAATTATTTACCCTCTTATCTTTCTGTTAATCATAACTTAATGTAGACTATAATTAATAACAATAGTCAAGTATGAAGCAGGGCATAGTAGTTTATAAAGTTGAAAGTCTGTTATTTCACTTGGCTATCAGGCCTCTAAAATCTTTGAAACTAAAAATATTAGTTTATAATTCATCACATGGTTAGACAAAATGGTCATTGTTTAATTAGCGTGTACTACAAAAAGAGGCTCCACAAATGTTTCTGGAACTCATTAACTGCTTAAAGCCCATTAATAAAGAGAGAAAAATGTTATCTCCAGGAAAAAGCATTGAGCTGAGTCCACAGAAGGTACTACACAATTTACTTTTGATAAACTTACATGATTTGTTAGTTTTCACAAAAGAACTCTCCTCTCTTAGATTCAGCCTTACCTTTAATTTCTGATAATGAGGAAGGCTGCTGCAATGAGTATTCTTTGCAACTTCTTCATTTGTATAAAAGAGTGAACACAGCTTACAGTAAAACCCTGTTTTAGGTATCACATAGTCTATACCTAGAACACAAACATACATTCTTACAAATTCAGTAAACTAAAGATTTTAATTAGTGTTCTCAAATCTTTTTTTTTTCCTGTCGATATAATTTGAATGAGATAACATTTCTGAGAAGTCCAATATGGCCTAAGCTAAAACAAAATGAAAACAAAACAAAACAAACCAAACTTGGACATTTATTAGTTGATAGTATGTACTTAATTGATTAGGTCCCACCTAGTAGTATTCTTAAAAGGCAGAAATATAGCAGATAAAACAGAAAAAGCATTGTGACATACTCAAAAATCTTTGAGGAGGAATAAGAGCCCTATTGTAGAATGGTAACAAAAAATAATACAAATTCTGGCAATGTGTAAGAAGAATTATTAAGATTTACAAATTGTTCTGCACAAGGAAAGTTATTTTAAAATGTTATCAGAATTTATTAAGACCAATTTTTAAATCTTATTTTAAAAGAAGAGTTTGGGGGAGGGTGAGAGAACAACAAAGTCTTAAATCTCACCAACAGGAACATTGGGCTGATATGGTCCAATTCTATACTCATCTGGGATTGTATAGTCCTCCTTGTTTTCATCACTTGGGCCATCTGCATTTTCACTTGCATCTTTGTTGGGATCATCAGCATTCTCAGCAGTTTCAGCGCCTGGTTCTGTATTTTCCTCATTTTTAATTCCATTTTCCAACGCTGCATCGTTTTCTTGATCAAGTTCCTCGATCTTGTCCACCTTAATTTCAACCAAACCATCATCATTTTTGTCACCAGATCTAAATGCCATGCCCGATTTACGAAGTTTCTGAAGCTCCGAATCTTCCTCATCACCAACCTCATCTAGAGTGACAAAACCTTCCATACTCCCTGGGAAACGACGCTGTTAAGAAAGACAAATTTACTCTGCAACAATTATCCTGCAGAATCCCTTTCGTTTGTTTTACTTAAAGGGAAAGGGATAGTAGCGTCTTTTTTTTTTTAAGATTGATTTTTTTATGCATATAAGAACTGGGGTACAAAAGTGCAGCAGGTGAAAGGATTCACCAGAGACATAGTGGGGAGCAGAATAGGCAGATGTACTGAAATACACTGCTGAGGGGAGCAGCAGGTGAGACAGGAGAGGTCTGTCATACCATCTGGGTCACCTCCCTGGTTGGGGTTTGAGCTCATGCTGCAGTGGCTGGGGATAGCTTTATAGTGTTGTGCTTTAACCCCATGCGTCACCAGGGAGGGCCAGTAGCATCTTTTTCTTTATTCATTCTCTCAAACCTACTGTCTTTTATCTGCCTCCAAGAGTCACTGATTACAAAAAAAAAAAAAAAATTAGCTTACTTTAAAACTAGTTGAAGCTTTGCCTCACATGAAAAGTAGAAAACATATAAAGACATCCATACTTTATGATTTCTCAGACTACAGTGTTTCCAGGGATTATACCAAGTAACTAATTAAAGTCATTCAATGATATACTATGGAAAATAGTACCTTATGGTAAAATGCCTACTTACAGAACACTCTAAATACTTTAGTGTGGTGATTTAAAAGAAGAAAAAAAAAAATATCAAACATCTAGATTTTGATTCTGGTTGTTACATATCAACAGTACAACTATGAACAACTTTTTCCCCCCGCAGTGAACTTTTTATTTACCTACTTTTGATGGAACTTTTAAAATTTTTTTACATTGTTGTACAATATTTGATTTCTCCCCTCAGGTAAAAATCTCATAAATCTTCCCACCATAACACCTGTGTACCATCAACCAGAATCCCTTGTCTTCCCTTCTGTTTTAACCCCTTCTCAGACCTTCTCCTGCCTCAGATGCCTCAGATGTATAGATGTCTGTTTTGTCTTTTTTTTTTTTAACCTTTTATTTGGTTCCCCCATATTCCTCCTATAAGTGAAACCAACCAGTAATTTTCTTTTTCTTTCTGGCTTATTTCATTGAGCATAATCCCATTCAGACCATGGAAAACTTATTCAACTTGTCCATGCCTCACCTTTTTCATTCAAGATATGGAGATAACATTGCTTTAGGTGCTTGCTTCCAGAACCACCCAGAAAAAAGACTAATATTCCTGTAAAAAAAATATGGACAGCCACATGCTATCTATTCACTGTATCCCAATGCATGCCCAAAGAAAAAGTATTAAGAATTTGTCATTTGATTTGAAATGAGTAGAAGTCCCAGCCATCAAGGCCACATCCAAAGCAAGTATCTTTGATGTGCTTTCCCAAACTACATGTGAAATTATATTATTGTGTGGATTTTGGTTTATATCAAGGTAGTTAGATTTATTCTCAAGATACCTGGAAGAACCAAACTTCCCTATCTTGTTATAAATCTGTGGGTGCTGCCCCACAATATCCAAAGCCCAAGTAAAGGAGCTAAGAAAAACTGACCTTTGGACGGGGGAGGAAGGAAATTATACTTACCAAAAAAAAAAAAAAAAAAAAAAAAAAAAAAAAAAAAAAGCTGTCAAAGTTACCTACTTGAAAAGCTTTAAAAATATTTATAGTATATAATGCTTAATAAATGTCAGTTTGTGTGAAAAACATATGCAACAGTCATCTACTTAAGCCAGAAACATAACCTTAAGTTATGTGACCAAGCTTTCAAAATATGGATGTCAAAGGCATTTTAATGCTTTGATCCTCAAGTCCTTACCCCAGGGATAATTTTCCCCCCATGAATGAATTTAACTTATATGTTACACATTCTAAGAAAAATGCATTAAAAATGTATGAAAATATCTGATTAAGACTACAATTCTCAAATAGAAAAGCTCTTCAAAGCTAACAAGTTTTCAATGAGTGGCAAGGTATCTGAAGTATCTTGGGTCAGTTAACTTAGGGCAGACTCACCCTATCTTATACAAAACCAAAACTGAGCTATCCATAAGACTGCCTAACAATACTTATATGCACATTAACCTACTACAATAAAGAAGTATATGCTTTTAAGAATTTCTATACATTACAAAGTTCCCTTTGTGAAGGGAAATTTTTATTCAACTAAAAAAAAAAAAAGCCCTCTTTATTCATTGCAGAACTTAAATTTCTGTCATGGTTTGTTCTTGACATTTTTCTAATTGACTTTAATTCATTTAAATCTAACCCTGCTAGGACAAATAATTTGAGACATCTATCCAGAGAAGTTCCTTTACCTTTTTAAGCTTTTTCTTGGCAGCTGCAGAAGTTGTTTCCTTTTTCACAGCTTTGTCAGAAGGATCTTTTTTCCCATCAGAAGCCACATCACCTAAATTAGCAAGGTCAGTCTCATCTCCCACTGAACTGCCACTTTCTAGCAGTGCTGCTGCTTCTTCTTCATCTACAAGTAGCTCATCTTCAGATTCAAGAAGCATGTTAGGCTCTTGTTCTGCCTGGTCATCCTTTGTATCTTTTTCACCATCTTCACCTGACTTCTCTTCTTGTTCTTTACCTTCAGTTGTACTTTCCGTCTTCTGGGAACCATCAGTTTTAGATTTCTTATCACTTGGTGATTCTTTGCCATCTGGAGAGTAAGATCTTTTTCTGAAATAGAAAATAAAAACCTCAGTTTTCCCAAGCTGGAAAACAAAAGTTTAATACACTAGTAAGAATACACACATTAATGATATTACCGAGATTTATCTTTTTTCAGTAAGTCAATGCCTCTGTTGGGAATCTGAAACACAAGGTATTTCAAAGTTAAATAAATGTACTAGAAGTATGTATTTGCAGATGTATAATTATCCAATTAATAATGACTCACTACCCTTTACATAATCAACCAAAATAAACATTTTGGTAGAACTCAGTTTTAAATAAAATTTTGTATAAAAGCAATAAAGTTATTTTTCATGGAACACCAGGTTAAAAAACAAACAAACAAACAAAAAAAAAAAAACAACTGCTTCTGTCTTAAGAGAAATTTCCATAATCAAACTCAGTAATTTTAGCATATAAAAATGTTTAAGAATGCTGTGGCTAGGGGTCTCCCTGGTGATGCAAGGGGTTCAGTTTCAACACTATGCAGCTATCCACAGCCACTGCAGTGTAAGTTTGATCCCTGGCCATGGAGCTGATCCACATGCACAGCAGACCTCTCCTGTCTTACCGGCTGCTCCCCTCGACAGTGTATTTCAGTAGATCCACCTGTTCTGCTCCCCACTCTTGTGTTTCTGTGAACCCTCACCCCCCACACCTCTGGCATGTATCCCAGTTCTTATATGCATAAATAAATAAATCTTTAAAATGCCTTGACATACACAAAAATTAGCCTTATAATCAAACACTACATACCCTGAGTACCAATTTTTTATATTTCTCAGACAAGTCAACTTTCACACATCTTCCCTGAAACCAAAGGGCCTTTTTCAAACAGTGGTCAACCATTGCCATAGCATCTTCTCTGGTTTCCATCTCAATAAAGGCCTTAAAAAGAAAACACAGAACTTACTTTTCAGAGAAAAATATACAATATTGTGTTTTCCGTCTACTTGCACGTGAGGAGAAACAAATAGGAAAAATTAATCTTTAACACACAGTGGTAAAAGTGATTCAATACATAAATATAATTTGTCAAGTTTACAAAGGAACAGCAAATAAGAAACCATCATATATAACTCATTCTGAAAAAAGTAGGTATATAAGATAATTCAAACAGTGAAAAAGGAAAAATTTTAAATGTCTGGAAAGATTAAACTCAGAAATACCATAAAAAAAGAGGTTAAAGGAAAAAAAAATGCTTTCTTGTTCTGAAATTTTAAAATGAAAACTATATTTACAACAATTTATTCATTAAAATCACATAGTCTGAAAAGTCTGTAATACCCACTGCAAAGCATTTTCAGACAATATTGGTTTGACTACAAAATGGCACTCTTTTGAAGAATATTATGTATAAAATTAAGCAATTTTAGGATTCAAAATTCTAATTCTGAAATTTATGCATAGAACTATGCAAAAATCCACATGCTGCAAAGTCTATAGCAGAAACTCTGTAAAACGATACAGCACTTTGAGAAACAATGTTTCACAAAACCTCCACATGCATATTACCTGACTTTTCATCCTCATTAGTATATAATTCTTTATTTTTCCATAAGGCTCAGCAAGTTTGAGGACAGCACTGTCAGAATAGCCAGAATGAGGTAAATTGCTGAGATGTATCACACGTCCGAGCTCCTGCTTCTGATCGAACTTTTGGTCTGGCTTCCCTTCAGGTTTCTTTAATAAAAACAGTGTGGGAAGAGGGTATGTCAAATGTTCATAAGTATGCTATAATTACTACTTACTAGTTGAGATTATTAAATGTGTTACCATACCAATAATTTCAAATATTAAAATGATGCATCAAATGTTTCATAATACAAGTATGAAAAAAAAAGAAATCACCTTTATTCTTTTATATTTCTGTGATAAATGAACTCTCACTGGCTTGCCAAATACTAATGCTGGTGTGGTTGTATAATAATCCACTGCAGCCTGAGCATCTTCTGTGGTTGCCATTTCAATAAATGCCTGAAATTGCACAAGAAAATTTGAAAACAATGCTCAATGACTTTCCAGATGTATTTATAATTTATTTGTATAAATAATAGATTATTTACTTAAATAATAATATTTAATTATTATTAAAGAACCTAAAAGCAGACCAACATTACTAATTCACTACTTAAGGTCAGCTCATATTTTATTATCTTCAGGCTACTAGATTATCATTTATTATGCTTAGTGGACTTAAAAATTTTGGCACTCTTGGTAAAAATCTGGAATAAAATTATCCTTTATAGTTCTTTCTTACAGGAGTATAATAATGAGATTTTTACTATTTAGGTATCATAACTTATCAATACTGAAACTATTATTGACATGTTTCAATTATTTTAAAGATTTATCTATTTATGCATACAGAATCGGGGTACAGGCCAGAGGCGCACGGGTGATAAGAGGATTCGCCAGTGACAGAACAGGGAGCAGAATAGGTGATTGATGAAATACAATGCTGAGGGGAGCAGCAGGCAAGACAGGAGAGGTCTGCTGTACCATGTGGGTCACCTCCCTGGTGGGGGATCAAATTCACACTGAAGCCGCTGTGGGTAGCTTCACAGCACTGTGCTCCAACCCATTATGCCACCATGGAGGGCCCGCTTCAATTATTATTGACTTTTTCCCTATTACATTCCACATTGATTTAAGATTACATTGAGTTCTTTTTTTCTAATGCAAAGTCATTAGAAAATACATTATTTTTAAGAAATACATTATTTCAACTCATACCTCATTGATTTTATTTAGAATCAAATGATTTGAAATGACTCCAAATGGTTCCACCAGCTGTAATAACTGATATCTCAAGTTTTTCCCTCGTTGAAAATCCATAATGTGGACAACTCGGCTAGTTTCCTATCCATTAAGTGGGGAAAAATTAAATCAATAAAAAAAAAAAATTAATACATCTCTTTAAAAGCAGTATGGAAAAGATTATGCATTAGAAATTTTATAGTTTATAGTTAGAACCCATAGTATTCTACAAAATTAAAAATCTACACAGGAAATTAAAAGTCATAAGGGTAAATCTCACGGTTTTAGGATACAGATTAAGAACTGATTTTTAAATTGGATATTCTGTATGTAACTGAGTAGCAACGCTAAGACTAAAGATTAGGCTATCTATGGATATATAAGATTAAATTGTAACTTATCAAAGACTAAAGATCAAATTAACAAGGACTTAAGTAAAACATGTAACATCCCCACAAAGAGCAAATACTGTAAAATTAAGAGCTGTTATTACTGACCACTCTGCCTTTCTGCATATGTCTTGGTCCTTGCAGGTTTCCATTTCCAGCACCTTTATGGGGGAAAAGCATTTTTTTTTCACTCTTGTGAAAACAGATACTACCTTCAAAAGGTTATTTTAACTGAAAAACAGGACTTTTAACAAATCCAAGAAAATTACAAATATCATGTAAGTAACCATATCTTTTCATCAGTATTACTTTTGAGTAACATTTTCAATGAGCTTTCTTTTGTCTGAAAATACGAGATTAATTTCTATGGTAAAAGTTCTGAGGGAAAGGTAACATGAATTTTATAATCACCCAGATTTCCTCTTGGTCCAACTGCTGGTCCCCCAAGATGAAATGAGGGAGGTGGAGGTCCCAGAATTCCTGGTGCTGGATTTGTAGATTGCTGCAACATGAATGGATCGCCCCTAGTAATGTGAAGATTTAAAACATAAATCATGATAAAGAAGCTCCTCAGAAATAATTAAGATTAATTGTTAAAATATCCTTGAATGACCATGATTAATTTACTCTTTAAAGGCATTTATGTGTGAAGTAACTACAGGAGAAAATATAAAAAATAGCAGTAAGATAAAAATTTCTACATTAATATGGTTCATAAAAAATTCTTTTACCCAGTGACTTTCACTCATTTTACATTTCAATTAAGAAAATCAGAAAATAATTTTGTTTATGAAAGGTTGAAAGTTTAACCTGAGTTCCTTATATTGATCTCCACTACAAATAATAACTAAAAAATTTTAACTTACATTGTGTGTCCTGTATCATTGTCAGGATTCCACTCTGGGTAGCTTTAAAAAGATCAGAAAATAAACTTTAAAATAAAACTGTCCTTTTCAGAAAGCAGCCTTGATTGGCCTTTAAAATAAGAAACATATTAGTAAAGTTATAAGTCTGAATGTTAGAAATAATTTTAAAATGTCACAGATATTTCCAGAAACTTTCTAAAGAGAAACTTTAGAACCTCCAACTAATCTAAATAAACTTATTCTGTATTACTTGAAATGTAAGTAATATATGTTGATATTTCTATTTGTTTACTGACCAATTTTCCTTCTCTAGTATTACAATTAAGAGCAGAACAGAGTTCTGAAAGAAAAGACAGCACCATTAGAGCTAAGCATATATGAAAACAGCCACTTCAGTGAACAATGGGGATTGTGGCTACTTAGATTTCTTAGAATACCATTTCATTCTAATAGCTTGAACTCGGAAGCAGAGGTATTTCAAATGCAACAGATATGTCCAGAAGGAATGCTTACAAGTTGTTTAACATCTTGTAACTTTTAAAAAAGGTTTATTTATGCATACAACTGGGGTACAGGCCAGAGATGTGTGGGAGGGGGGTGAGAAGAATTACTTGAGACAGGGTGGGAAGTAGAACAGGCAATATCTATTGAAATATATTGCTGACTGGAGCAGCAGTCGGGTCAGGCAAAGTCTGCCTTGCCTGGCCAGGGATTAAAGTTGTGCTGCAGTGGTTGCAAAGGGATTCACAGTACTGTTCCTTAAACCACTGCGACACCAGGGAGGGCCCTAACATCTTGCAACTTCTTTCTTCCACTCCATCCTTATGGTATTTTGGGGGCATCTATTATTACTATATTACTGAAAGTATTATTATGACTCTGTTCTATGTATCAAAGGCAATCTTTAAGTCAAATTAGAATTATTTTGATTTGTAACAGTGGTAATCAAAGTACCATTATCATTGCATATAATGCTCCAGGTGAAATGTCAGATATAAAATGCTGTTTGTACTTAGTACTGTCTGGGTAAGTACCAACTATGAAGTAATAATTGTGGATATTACAAACAAATGATAAACTCCCCAAACCAATCAGTGGCTGCTTCTGATTCACGATAAGGATTCTTTAAAGGTATTTCAAATTCCTACATTTCAAGAAGAAGCTGGCATCGACGACTGTGACTTGCTCCATTGATATGTTGACTCCACTCCTGCAGCAAAGTAAATTGGCAGAATTAAACATAGTTAAAATATTTTCATTTAAACACTTTAGACACTAGGATGTTAATCTATATTCAGCATCATATACTGTAGCTACAAGTGCCCATTCAGGAATTATTTTAAGCATTTCTCTGAATCCTTATAGCTTGATCCTGCCCTCAAATACGCCATGCACATTCTTGGAAAAACTGGCTGGCTAACTTGGTTAACATACCAACAGATCTGATAGGGGAAAGATAGAGTTAATAAAGATCAAAAATCATAACTGAACTTGAAATTAGCTAGACATAGTAATTTCTGCTGTGGACCAAATTCATTCATGTCATATAATCATAACTGCTATTAATAATTTACAGCACTCAAATATCAATACTTATAACTACACTTTTAGATAAGTAAATGCTATAATTGTGAATTAAGTTTAAAATGTAGTATGTAATATTCATCCAGCGTGAGGTGTTGTTTTACAAGTGTACTACAGCATAAAAAAGCAAAAATGATTCAATAGGAATGGTCTTCCTAGAAAATGTTCCCCACATAATCATGAAACTAAATTCCCATATTCCCCAAAAGTGAAGAAAATTTCAGGAATGCCTATTTCTAAATTTTAGGGAGGAAAGCATTAGATTCCATTAATATCTGGTTCCTCTGTGGCTTTTTTAAATTTGAAGGAATTAAATTCCCCCCATTATGCAAATAAAACTTCTTTTAGGAAAATACCCACATATAAATGCTTAACATTTTAGGCAATGTAAGAAAATATATTCTGCTGCCAGACTGCCTAGGTTCTAGTCCCAAAGTTATTTACAATTCATTGTAATTCAATAGTCTCTTAGGTTTTGTGATATGTAAGGTATGTAAATTAAGGTAAACTGCTTATCAGAACATTTCCCAGGCACACAAAGTGCTCAAAAGTAAACTATTATTACAGCTACCTTGTTTTACAACTCCTGCTTTACTATATTGTTTTCACAAATTCCCACAAAAAAGAGGCACACCTTTTTAACATCCATATTATCTAATACAATTTGGAATGTAAAACATGGCCAGACCTAATTTTTTAAAGGGGAAATTTTCAGCTGAGCTAAATAAGGGATCAAATTACAAGCAGTACTTAAAAAAAAATCTTCAAAATGGTATTTTATAAATGGGATTCTTATTTTTTAATTCATTTATATTTCAATAGTTTACATATATTTCTATGCCCTAACAATTAACTAAAATTCCATGAAATAACTAAGATGGAACACATCCAAACTGAATTGTAACCCTCAGAACCTGGGGCATTATCTCTCAAAATTAGATTCTTTTTTAAGATAATGGCTAACAGATAAGGAACTTGAAGCAATCTCTTCAGCTGACTCTACAATCAGATATTTGGAATACAGAAAAGTTGTACTTGCTAAAGCAATAGACCATCAACTTGTTGGAGGCCACTTTTTAAATGGCTGCAAGCAAAAAGTGCCATAGCTAAAGTTCACAGAGAGAGTAAACAAGTACTTTAACTTAGAATTTTCTAAACTAAAAATATTCAGATTCTATTTAAAACAAACTTGAGAAGTAGTCTGTTTGTTGGGAGAGGAACAAAAGCCACCCTATTAGGCATGCTTCTAATTTGTAGTAGATGGAAAAGGGTTATTTAGGCGAAGCAAATTTATTTATATCCAACCCCCCATGCTTTTTAAAGGTTGTAATTTATGGTAAAAGTGTGGTCTTTCAAAGTACAAAGCAGACCAAGATCAAAGAATCAGTTAAGTACCTCCCAAAACGCACCCATTACTAATCTGTACTACCAGTTCTTATTTTTTATATATTTTAGGGTTTAAAAAAAAAAAAAAAAACCTGTGTCCTTGGATTCTATACATTCAGATAATGCTCACATCAGATTAACAAAGAGTAAGGATTCACTTTTTGAATTCAGAAGTTCTAAAGAAAAAATACATTCAAATTGATGTCTTTGAGAAAACTAAGCTGTAAAGAAAGGATAATTTGGAGAGACATTCTGGAATGGCAGAATAAAGAATAACTTAAGGGCTTCTAGAAAAATAGTAAAAAGAAAAATATGAACTCAAGTGACAAGACAGTGAAAGGGCTGTAGTGGGTCATTTGCTTTAAGTGAAAGAATATATGGGAAGTTTGAGGTTGTGTAGGAAAGCAACTTGAAGGTCTAAAATGACCTAGAAAGAAATAAAAGCAACAGTATCACTGAAAGTCACTTAAAATATCAAAAATAATGACAACAAATTAGATGTTTTTTCTCCTAAAAGTCTATGGTAAGAAGAAGTCCTGATCATATAAGCTAATTAATGTCATCATTAAGTGAAATGAACAGATTTTCCAAGTTATGCAGCAATACCAGAGAGCAGGATGAAATGTTTAAAATTTTTTCATTATCTACTTTCACCACAGGAAATTTCTCAAGCCATTGTTCAGTTATAAAATGAGAAAGGATCACTTCTAAGTGACTGTTCCCCACCCCCCCAATAATGCAGATAACCTGAGTATCAGCTATATTAAGGAAGCTTGAATACATTTAGAATCCAGGTAGTTCAACTTCTTAAAATTGGTTCATTCTACAAACACAGTTAAGTCAAAGGGGCTCTAAAATAATTTTTAAGTCTTCCCAATACTGTATCAAGATATCAAAATTTGCTAGTCTAACCATTTTTACAGATTAAAAGTACCTCTTGCATTAGGATAATCAATCTTACTCTTGAATTCAAAGTCTCAGCAAGTATCATTAAATTGTTCCTTTGTTATTCTAGATCACGTTACTTTAATATGGCTGTTCAGAAACTAGAAAGTAGCAAAATTTGATGAGAAAAGAATCACATATAAAATCAAACTTTTTTAACTGAAGTCCTTTCATGGTTTTCTTTTTCTTTCTTAACTAGTTTTCTGAAATATGTATGTAGCATAGATTAAATTATTTGCTCAAAAGTCTGGATAAGAAAATTGTTAACGTTTTTGATTTATGATGACTCCGGTAGCAAAGATTTAAAGTCCCTTAGAATCACTTTCATTTGAGTCAGTTATTATCTTATAATTTGAGAGATCAAATCTGAAAACATTGGTCACCTTGTTATTTTTGCAAATATACAAGAAGTTAACAGAAAAAAGTGAGCCAACAGAAAACAGTGAGCCACCCAAGTTTAATGACATATTTAGTTAATTCAGCTTGGGCCAGACGTAAAACTTGAAGTTTAGGCCTTGAAGTTAAAAGCTGAAAGAAGAAAAAAAATCTAGATTCCATGATAGAACTTAGTATAGGCAACAAAACGAATAAAGATAACACCCAAACCAAACCACCTACTAATTAAAGCTTCCTAACTTTTGGAAGTTTGGGGTTATAGTTCATAAATGTTAATTTATGGACTTAAATTTAGCATTTGATGCTTATTTATTCTGGATATGGGTTAAAGATTAAATTATGGTGTACTTAGGCTATTTATTAATTTAAAATATTATATAAATAGGTACATATTTAGCAAAGGAATATCATTAAAAGTTACTTTTCAAAGTACTCTGTGAACTCGAGCAATCTTTAACCGAGACAAAAATACTAAGCTTAAAATACAGAAAAGGAAATGATTGGTAATACTTTTAAATAGGACATTTTAAAAAATCTGATTTACTTAAAAAATCAATTATCAACACGCACTAAAAATTGTATTTAAAAGGAATAAGTATGAAAAGAAAATGACCCTTCCAGATGGTACTGTAAAGAAAAAAACCTATTAATTGTAACCATCAAGTCAGTTCATGGTAGCAACATGTTTTAAGTTAAGAATACAATACAATACATCAGGAAAAATGGACTATGATATTCCATATATCAAGCTAGTGGAGTGCTATACTGTTGACCTTAAGTCAATAGCACTATGTACTGGGGTGGGGTGAGGGTGGGGGAAAATCAGTGAGAATGAGTTATTTTGAAAATACTGAAAGAGCAAGGACATCATATTTAAAAGGGCATTTTGAAAAAGTTCCCATTTCGCCAGATGTGATAAATTAAAGCAAAGAATTAGATTTTTTCCCCTCAAATGACTATACCAGAAGTCTAAGCCTAAATCAGAAAAAAGAATATGCTTATGAGGAACACAGAGCAGGATACTGCAGTTGATTTTTCCAAGTCTCTAAAGGGATAGATGCAATATGGGATAATAAAAAGTGAGTTTTGAAGTATGTTTAAGAAAGTTGTGGAAAAGGAGAAAAAAAATGATGAAAAATTTCAGTCATAGTATGAGAGTTTGTTAGAGGGAAATTAAAAAAGGAAGAATGAACTAATCTAAAATATGAAACACACTGAAACAAACACCAGGGCTCTACATTAACTCTTTCCCTGTAGCCACAGATAAGGAAAAAAAAAGAGAATTGTTCAAGAATACTTTACTACATACAAATCAGCAATCAAGACAGATGGAAAGCTGAAATCTAGCATCCTGAATGGCAGAGCACATTGACTGCAAAAAAATACTTAAAACAATTCAACAAAGCAGACAAAAACCTGCTTAAATATATAATTAAGAAGAACATATTGATGCCAAAAACCAACAAGATAATCCCAGTGGATGACAACTTTGTGGCCAGAAGTAATCTAGGCAGATTGTATTAATGTAAAGCCCTGGTTTAAAATGCCCAAAAACAATTACCTTCCAAATAAATAAGTGTTCTCAAAAGTATAAAAATTCTTGATCAACTCAGTGTCAACAGACTATAGAATTAGAGTAAAAGATATAGGTAAATACAGAATAGGCACTACAATGTAAAAGAAATTAGAAGTATATCTGTTGCATTAACTCACCTTATTAGAATGAACTGGCAAATCACATATAGAGCACAGATGGGGGTAACCCTTCGGTAAGAGTCCATGGAAGTCTTCAATATTGCTACTTGGAGGAGCGCCCCTCTTTTTCTCAAAGAGAGATCTCTCTTGTAAGGGGCCAGGACCACGTCCCATTCTCTCATACTCACTGTCAAATTTATGATAGTTATGCGAAGTCTCACCAAAAAAAGAATCATCCCTACACCTTTCTCCATCTCTTAATCTGTCATCTTCATAATCCATTCTGTCATAATAACCAGATTCTTGAGAACGACTTCCATGGTCATAATCAAGCACTGGGTTGAGACTAGGACCACGATCATCAAAACTATCTCTTCTAAAGTGCCTTTTTTCTTCCCAATCATCCCTAGGTACTCTGTATGGTGGCTCCCGTGTAGCAGATCTGCCATCTCTACCATAACTCAATGTAGGGCCTTCTTCAGTTCTCCTCCTTTTAAGCTGTAGAAGGATTTGGGGCAAATTCTCAGGAGTAATCTTGTCCTCTGGATAACGACTCAGTTCATCTAAGTCTCTAGCAGACAGACCAAAGCTGGCCAAAATGTTACTGGCCTGGTCTGCATCTCCACGGTGTTGAGAAGACAAAGGGAGTGGACCTCTACTTCCAATGTTAAATATAGACTGCAAATTATGGGAAGAAGTACTAGCAGAAGACAGCGCACTATGAGCTCCTTGTTGATTCAATGAAGAACTCATTCCAAGATTCATTAAACTAGCAAGGCGTGCAGTACCCTGGTTCATCCTTCCAAGAGATGCTGGCATACTTAAAGACTGGGTAGCAGCAGCAAGAAGGCCTATTCCTGCTGCAGACAGGTCACGCCCATGACCCTGTGAGTCCCTACCGAGAGATGACTGCTGGAATGACTTGGACATTGTAGAACTAGCTTGTCTAGTTTATAGATTAAAAAAAAATTTTTTTTTAAAAGATGGCCAAAAAGAAAGCTCAAACTAGAAAACTAGTTAACTTTGCTTCAAAAAATGGTAACGCCAAGAAAAAGGATCAATAAGGACTGTAGAATCTTCTTCAAGCTGAGAACCAGCAGACAACTCTGTAGAAAAATAAGCAATTTTAGTCATAAATCCCTTTAAGTAGATGCCGTTTTTTTTTAGAAAAAAAAAAACTTACGCATCATTGTTGATTTAAAAAAAAAACATTTAAGATCTCAAACTTACAAGGAATTTATTACATAGCAAACAGATTCCAGATGTATGCAGAGCCTGCATATATTTAAAAAGCAGTCTTTCATGTTAAATTTTAACTATTAAAGGGAATTTATTACTGAATTTAAAAACATTTCAATTGATGGATTAGATGTTTGAGTAAATCAAAATTTCAGTAAAAATATAGATGGGTCTCTTTCTTTTAGAAGAATAAAAATACACCCTATAGTATGATGCTTAAGTTCTAGAAGACTAAAAATAAACAAAAACCAAGTTCAGCAAGTCAAAGATGAATCAGTTGTATTCTGCTTTAGAAAATGAGACCTAATTACCACTATCAGAAAGAACCAAGTAAAACCACAAGTAAATGAAGGTTAAGTGTCAAGTACCTAGTATAAGATCTAAGACCAAACACAATAGTTGAGACCTTTATGCAGCAAAATCAATTTGAGGTAAAGATAGATGTGAAGAAAAATAAGTGACTTCCTGCAGCTTAAGGATTTCTGCACAAATTTAAGTCATATAACTAACTGCCTTCTTACTTTCCACCCAAATCAGGCAGTGCTTGTTTCATTTCTAGTCTTGTAAGGGAAGGAAAACTAAATACGGTCACTACAGAACCAGGAGAATCCCAAGAAAATACCCAGGTACCAGAAGGGGATTTAAAGATGTGAACTCTCCCAAGTTACCATCCATCAATGCTCTCACTCACTCTGGGCTACCACATGAATAGAGTTCAAAACAGGTTTTTCAAAAAAAGAAAACAAGGCCCTTGCTTACATAGATTTCCATAATTTTTTTCTGAAGAACAGTCCAATCACCCGGAAAAATTATATTCTGAATACAATCCCCCAAGATGTGTTTCTGGATGAACTCATTCTCTGAATTAAATCATTTTACTTCAGATATTATTTTGTTATGTAAGAATTTGCATGATCCTCATAAACTACTAAATGATGTACATAACAAACGTGCTTGATGAAACAATTTTATAATCACACCTATATACAGAGATTAACTCAATTGTTTGCTACAGAATTGTTAGGCAGTATTGTTCAGTTAAGTTTTGTACATTTGATTACCCATACTCCTAGCACTGGTAGTTCAATATATTAGACTTTATTATAGTTCAAACCAGGTAATATCCAAATTATGGAAGCAATTCCATCAACGATAAATTAAAGCAAGGAAACACTGGATGAATACAGTGGTAGAAGAATTACTTTCTTTAAAGCTACAAGCAAGACTTAGCTATTACAGAGAGATGTAACAAAGTTAAAAAGACACAAAAAATGTTCTTAGAGGTGACTTGAATTACAGAGGATGTTTTTTGCACACCAAGAAAGATGAATTTGAGAACAGACACCAAAGAAACTAGTTCTAGATGAGATCCACTACGTATACTTAGGCTTTAAGAACAGTAATAAAGACAAGAGTTCAGTGGACTTTTTTGGATGAAGGTTTCTTTAATGTCTTATAAATGTCATACAGAATGGCAGCTGAAATACAGTATCAACAATGGCAGAACCCTCTAAAATTCCAGGTGTACTTCATTAAAACAACAACAACAAAACACACACACAAAAAAAAACCTTTAGAGGGTTTTTCAAAGTGTCAGGTTTTTAACTGCAGCTTTGCCCTTCAAGATACAGCCAAAGCTTTGTGTATGTTAAGGCCAGACTTTTAAAAGAATCTTTTTCTCCCTCTCAGGGAAATTAGTTAATTTGATCATGAGTTAAATTTCTTAAATGATAACATTTTAAGGGAATAATAATTCTTGGATTACAGCCATCTCCATTACTTTTCTTTGGAGTGTATATGATAATGATGGATCTGCAAAAAGGAAAGGTTAAGAGCAATAAAGGTAAAAGATAACCTTAAGACAAAACAGAAAAAGAATGTCAGAAAATGGTAAGACAATGTAAACCTCATGACAATTTATAATTTCATAATTGTCTCAGTACTTCTGAGTTTCCACTTAAAATCAGTTCCACACAAGGACATTACAGAACACAACTTAAACCAGTTTTTATTGAAACAGAACTTAAAAAAATATTTTTTTTATTAGGACAAAGAAAAACCAGACTTGACAACCCTGTTGAAGAAGCATTTATGGAAACAATTTCCTTAGTATCTCCCTTTGCTCAATGGTAAACACAAAACAAGCCACTTTAAAGGATTCATTTATGCGAGACTGAAGTCAAATAATCATTTAATTGATTACAATGAAAAAAGCAGTTTCTTTAACAGTATGTTTTTCCATAATTATGAAATTGCATTTTCATAGTAAATTATACTAGATGTTAATAGTTGGAAAACAGTTCCTTTGAAATAACTAATTTAGAGGCAATGTCAAAATTCATTTTGCCTATCAAATGCAGTACCTTGAAATAATACCCTCCACCTTAAGTAAGGAAACATTATAAAAAAGGGAAATTATAATTACAACTCACATGCCATTTACAACTTGACATTCAAATCCTTAATGAGCAGGTGTAAAACTGGTTTTTACAGACAGCTTTAAATAATTAATCTAGAACTTAAACTTAGCTCACAACACAATTGGCAAATGCTACTAGTTAGCTTCATGTTTAACAGTTGAACAATTATTTCCTGTATATAACATCAACTTTCAGTTACTAATACTCAACCCCTGCATTGCACGGATAGCCACCTGATACTCTTTTAGTGGGTTTATGTTCACCAATTCAGAAATACTAAACTATTTCAGAAAACTATTAAAAATTTAACACAATCAAAAAGTTCACAGAGGTGGCAGATCAATGGCTGTTCTGTATCTCGACTGCCTTAGTTAAAATAAAGATTATTCCCTCCACTCCTTTATTCATTTATTTAGGAGGACCACTAAATTAAGCATAAGTAAACATCAGTTCTTTAAATGATGCTGTGTGCATGGAGGGAACTTTAGTTTTTAAGTTCAGTTTAAAAGATGCCGTTTTAAAGGTATCTCCTACCACAAGCATATCTTTAGCTATGTTCTGAATTTGTGTAATAATCACTTTTAAAACAATCAGCTTTAAAATGGTAACTACAAAAGCCTATAAAAATATTCACATTTTAATCCTTTAATCTCAAAAACTTAAGTCTACAACTATAACTTTTACTCAATTTCCCCTCCCAAATTAAATAAGCATGAAACTGGAAATTTCCAGATATTCCCAAATTTTCTATAAAGGTCAAGCAACCATGTGACTTAAATTACAAATTGAAAATATGCCAAATATGTGTATAGTAGTAGCCAACAATGTCAAAACATAAAGATGTCCTAACCATGTCACTGGTATGTGGCAGAGAGTGTTCTTTAGTAATTTCAAGAAAGCATCTTTGGGAAAGGCAGCAACTTATTTTTTGCCACCAATAATGCAAATGCATTCATTTTTGTGGTGAGAACTTCCAAACCAAGCACCTGACTCATTAGAGGTAGGTGATTTACTCATTTAAACTTCTCACTTAAGTTTATGTTTATAAACAATGCATCAAGAGTCCCCATTTTAAAGTGTTAGCAAACTTTCATTTTAATATTACATCTTAATGTTATTTTGAAACTTATTTAAGGATTTGTTTTTAATGATCCGAGGTACTATTCAATCTTTTATATGGCATTTGATCCACTTTTAAAACCTTAATCTGTTTTTTTAATGGCATATCTTTAAATGACAGAGAAACTTAAAAAAATAAAAAACCTCTAATTAATTTAAATAGTAAACCCCTTAGGAAACAAAGTCCCAGCTCTATTAACTTCAGCTTAAGTAAGTCAGTATATAATCTCACCACACAACAGAAAGCTGAAAAATAAAAAAAAATTTTTAATGTGCTTTGAGATTATTCCCTTTTTCATATACACAGACTTCTGACCCGCATTTTGATACTTAGGCTAATGATAACAGTGTTGCAGAATCCTCTAAAGGCTTAAACAGAAAATCAGAAGGGATTCATTCCCATTCAAACTTTGAATGTTTTCTTCTTCCTAGATTTAATTTTTTTCCCAGTGACTTTTTGACATTAACAAAATTCAAATTAAAGCAATACAGAAACTCATTAAATAAACTCAAAAAAGTCACTTCATTTACCTGACAAATCTGACTCTGGAATTCATCTATGACACATACTTTTGATTATTCCCATCTTAAAAGCAGAATCAGTGATTTTCTAGAAATCATTCTGCACCCTTATGATTTCTCTCTACTCATTTTATGTTCTCCTTTCATGGCTTCATAATATTTGAACACCTATTAACTCTTTAGTTTGTTATATACTAATGTTCTGGGAGCACAAATGCCTTCAATTAAAATTCCTTCTGATTCTACTACAGAACAGCTGTGTGACCATGAGCAAATTAACTGGTTGTTTTTCATATAGGAATAGGAATAAAAAGTAACTTTCACCTCCCTGGTGGTGCAGCAGATTAAAGCACAACACTAAGAAGCTAAAGCCACTTCCGCATGAGTTCGATCCCCACCTGCCCCGGAGGCGACCACATGGCCCCGCAGACCTCTCCTGCCCACCTGCTGCTCCCCTCAGCAGTGTACTTCTTCGATCTGCCTGTTCTGCTCCCTACTCTGTCTCTGGTGAACCCTCTCACCCTCTGCATCTCTGGCCTGTACCCCAGTTCTGTATGAATAAATAAATAAATAAAATCTTTAAAAAAAAAGAAAGTAACTTTCATAAAGCAATAAAGATTTAGTAAGTCAGTTAAAATAAAACACTTAAAGTAGTGCATCTTTTGTTGATTACTGTTATCCTTACAACCAATGAGAAAAAATGAGTTAAAAAAACTGACCCTAAATGTTTATGTGCATCAACACAAAAAAAAACTGACCTAGATATAAAAATAGTTTAAGCTTTCCATGTGTGCTGTACTCCCTAT